TCTACAGGTCAAGTGCAGAATTGTCATCTTAACAATATTGAGTGTTCCAATCCATTACCATGGAATACTTATTCATTTATTTAGATCTTCTTTGGCTTCTTTCATTACAGTTTTGTGGTTTTCTGCATATAGATTCTAAATTTGTTAGATTTATACCCATTTTATTTTCTTTTGGTGCTATTACAAATTGCATTGTGTTTTTAATTTCTAATTCCAATGTTTATTGCTGGTGTATTGGAAAGCAATTGACTTGTGTGTTAACCTTGAATCTTGCAACCCTACTATAAATTACTTGTTATTTCCAGAAGTTGTTGATTCTTTGGGATTTTCTACATAAACAATTACAGCATTTGTGAACAAAGACAGTTTTATTTCTTCCTTCTCACTATGTATACCTTTTATTTCATTTTCTTGTCTTACTGCACTAGGTAGGACTCCTAGTATGATCTTAAATAGGAGTGGTGAGAAGGGATATCCCTTTCACTGGCATGTCTCTAGTGAGCCCATGCCACCATTATTATCTCTTACCTGACCTATTGTAATAGCCTACTTACTGGTCTTCCCACTTTAGTTTTTGTTCCTGTAAAGTGTATTGTCTGTACAATAGCCAGAATTAGGTCTTAAGAATATAGACCAAATCTGGCTGGGCGCGGTGGCTCACGCCTGTAATCCCAGCACTTTGGGAGGCCGAGACGGGCGGATCACGAGATCAGCAGATCGAGACCATCCTGGCTAACATGGTGAAACCCCGTCTCTACTAAAAATACAAAAATTAGCCCGGCGCGGTGGCGGGCGCCTGTAATCCCAGCTACACGGGAGGCTGAGGCAGGACAATGTCCTGAACCTGGGAGGCGGAGCTTGCAGTGAGTGGAGATCGCACCACTGCACTGCACCCTGGGCAACAGAGCGAGCCTCTGTCTCAAAAAAACAAAAAAAAAAAACAAAAAAAAAAAGAATATAGACCAAATCATGTCACTTCCCAGATTAAGGCCACTCCAATGGGCTGCTGTTGTACTTACGATACAATTTAATTTTTCAGCCTAAACTACAATACCTTATATAATCTGGCCCCTGCATGCCTGGGTAATATCATCTTTTAAGATTCTTTGTCTTGACCTGTAGATGCCAGCCACATGGGCCTTCTTTTTGTCCTTCAAGTACATTTCCCTTTGGGCCTTGGCACCCACTGTTCCTTCTGCCAAAAATGCTCTTTTTGTTATTGATATTTATAGCACCATTTTTTTCTGGTTATTCAGATCTGAGCTGAAGCATGACTTTCTCACAGTGGCTTCCTCAGTATAATGTTACATTTAGCCATTCTTGATCATGCTAATGTATCTTAATTTTTTTGTGTAACTTTTACTGCTACCTGACATTGTCTTCTTTACTTAAAAAAAACAAAAACAAAAACAAAACAAAAAAAACAACTCTGCTCCTCCTTCCCTGCCTGTAGGCCTTCCAGCCACTGGCAAGCAGGTCCTTGAGAGTGGGACCCTTCATCTTGGGTTTATTGCCGTGTCTCCTGTGTCTGGAGCAGCACTGGGCATGGGGTGGGTGCTGACTGGCGTCTTTCTATATCTCTATCCTTCTCTTGAATCAAATGTCCTTATTGTCTCTACTCTTCAGTCTCCTCCTCTCAATTTTCTAGACTCCACACTTTTTCCTGCCCTAGAGCCTTTGGACATGCTGTTCTCTCTGCCCAGAATTTCCCACATTCTCCCTCACCATTTTGCTTCAGAACCTTCTGTTCTTTCTTTAATGCGCAGTTGAATTGTCACTTTTCTGGAGAAACCTTCCCCAGTTTATTTTACCATCTCATTCATGATTATTTTCGTAGGTTTAATTTTGCATCTACTTGTATGATTATGAGATGGTCTGTCTTCCTTACTATTTTGACAACCCAAAAGGCAGGGCCTGGGTCTGCCTGGACTCCTCCTTTATCTACTCCCCCCAGGACTCTGCCTGGTCCATGGCAAGTGCCCATGGTGCTCAGGAAATGATTGCTGGAGAAACGAGTTCACTGAAGAAGAAGTACCAGATTCTGTTGGTTCTAAGATGCATACTTTCTCAAACTAAGTATTTCTGAAATAAGGATGCATCTTGCAATTGAGGCACGTTAGAGTCGATGAAAAACAGTATAAATTGTTAATAAATATGTTAAAATATTCTGTTTCACTAGTAATCAAATAAATGCAAATTAAAACAATAGTAGGGGCTGAGCACAGTGGCTCACATCTGTAATCCTAGCACTTTGAGAGGCCCAGGAGGGTGGATTCCCTGAGCTCAGGAGTTCGAGACTGGTCCAGGCAATAGGGTGAAACCCTGTCTGTACAAAAATACAAACAATTAGCTGGGCATGGCGCTATGCACCTATAGTCCCAGGTACTCAGAAGTCTGAGGCAGGAGAATTGCTTGAACCTGGGAGGCGGAGGTTGCAGTGAGCTGAGATGGTGCCACTGCACTCCAGCCTGGGCAACAGAGCAAGACTCCGTCTCCAAAAAAAAAAAAAAAAAAGCCAACAACAAAAATCCAACAACAGTAGGATGCTGTTTTTTCAGATACCAAATTGGCAATGATTTTTTTGCAAGGATTTTTATAAACAATAATAATATTGGCAAAGATGTGAGAAAATAGGTACTTTTACATGATACAGGTGAGAATGTATATTGGGGCAATCTTTCTGGGGAGTAATTTGGCAATATATATCAAAGCCTTAAAAATATGAGTCTACTGTGATTTTCAATTTCTAAAAATTGTTCCAAGGAAATAATCAGGGGTGTTGACAAAGATTTCTGTGAATAATTCTCAATTAGGTAGCATCTTATAATAGTGAAAAATTGGCCGGCGCAGTAGCTCATGCCTGTAATCCCAGCACTTTGGGAGGCCAAGGCGGGTGGATCACTAGGTCAGGAGATCGAGACCATCCTGGCTAACATGGTGAAACTCCGTCTCTACTAAAAATATAAAAATAATTAGCCAGGTGTGGTGGTGGGCGCCAGCTACTAGGGAGGCTGAGGCAGGAGAATGGCATGAACCTGGGAGGCAGAGCTTCCAGTGAGCCAGGATCGTGCCACTGCACTCCAGCCTGGGCGACAGAGCGAGACTCCATCTCAAAAAAAAAAAAGTGAAAAATTGACTAATAATAATCAGTAAATGAAATAAAATCTGGTCTTAAATATGTATGCTCTCAAAGAATATTTAAGGATATGGAAAATTGTTCACATTATATTTTTGATAGATTTTAAGTCCCATGAGAGCAGAAATGATTGATTGTATTATATTTGATATATATATGCCCAATATCTAGCACATTCACATTAGGTGCAGGATGATCCCAATTTTAATTTTAAAAAAGTGTATATGTGTGTGTGTGTGTTTGTGTTATATGGTACACCCAAAAGATTAGAAGTCATATAGCAGCAATATCTTAACAGAGATTATCTTTGGTGCAATTATGGGTTTTTTAATTTCTTAGTTGTAGTTTTCTGTATTTTCTAAGTTTTCTATAATATACATATATTAGTTTTATAATGAGAAAAATTATGTTTGTCTTCTCAGACTCTACATTGGTGCTAAGTTAGTGAATGTGAGCGTGTGGTAGGGTAGGAGGAAGGGTTTATGAATAAGGGGTTCTTAAAGCACAGGAGATTGTTGAATTGAATATTAAATGCAGTGACGGACATCATCCATTTCAACCTGAGCCCTTGTCAGGAATCTGGAAGCAAAGTCCTCCTGAATGTGCAGAAGCCTCACCCTGGGCAGGAGCCCATCCCTGCACTGTTTGTCCAGACATCCTTGTTTGCCTGCTCCAAGCAGCTCCTCCTGACTCTGAGGCTCCCTGTCTCTTGCTTCTTCCTCTGAGTTCTCATTCCCACCCCAGGCCCCATTGCTTGAACTGCCACTTTGCACAAACATCTTGGACTCTGGCCTTCAGCATTCTCTCTCCCTTGTCTGTGTTTTAGTTTTTGCTTTTTGACTTGAAGCACCATAGCTCCAGCCTCCCTACAAAGCTGAGGGTTGTGGAATGTGATCCATGGCAAAACAGGCAGAAAGAAAGCAGGAGAATATTCAAGGCTGAGGTGACTTCAATGTGAGCAAAGGAATGGATGAAGAGCAAAGAATATATGTCAAACATATTAAATGCCATAATTTTAACAAATGAACAAATGTGGACATTTAGATACTGGAACATACGGGAAAGGAAATTCTGAAAATGAAGATTTGCAGCACCATGTATTTAATTGGGTCTTTAAGTTAAAAACTTCTGTTTTCATTTGTGTGTAAGGTATAATTACACACACACACACACACACACAAGGTATGTCTCCTTATTTTGTTCTTTTAGGATTTTCTTTCTGTTAAAGCCAGCATTTCAAGATAGTTGCAACAGAGGGCAGAATGGTGTAAGAAATTTAAATACCTTTTTCTTCTTATCTGAAAATCACCCCAAAATACAAATTAGAGCAATGTATGGATTGAGCTATAAATACTCTTTTTTGACTAGTTTTCAGCGTTTACATACAAAGATTATTAGTTATTTTTCATGTCATAGTATAAACTGTTTAGTATTATATGTAAATCTTAATAGAAGCAAAGTGCTGAACCCTTGAGAGAGAACCTGAACTATGGCTAATACATTTAACTTTTATAGCAAGATTAAGATTAAGCAATGGGTACTCTTTGTTCTTTCCCAAATATACTGTGGGATTATTTACTTTTCTTTCCATTCTAGTGCTGCAATGCAGGCTTATTGAACTTACTGTCCCTGACAAATGTCGATTAATGTTCTTTATTGGGAGTTTTTTGAAGTTTATGGGCAAGACCAGTGAAGCAGAAGAGTTGTTGTTGAGTGTTGAGGACATGTTAGTACAGGTAAACTGAGAGTAAATTTTAAATCCTTCAAACTTTATTCCTTTTGTGTTAGATATTATTTGTGTTTTCAGATATTATTTACCTTTGTTTATGTAAAGGTAATTTAATGCACTAGAGGAATCCATTTTGTTCACCAATAAGGAAGCTATGGTTTTAACCCATGCCCCAACTATACATTAATGACAACAAACAATAAGTAGATAGGAATCATTGTAGAATGAATGAGTACTGATAGGTGACACTTTGGAAAAAAAAAAGAAATGTTCATAAAGCAAAAATGGAAATACAGTGGTAGATTTAAATGAATTAATAAAAGACTAGCCAAAGACTTGGTAATAAGTTTCATAAAGATGTTGGGAGGCCAAGCACGGTGGCTTACGCCTGTAATCCCAGCATTTTTGGGGGCCAAGGCAGGTGGATCATGAGGTCAAGAGATCGAGACCATCCTGGCCAACATGGTGAAACCCTATCTCTACTAAAAATACAAAAATTAGCTGGTCATAGTGGCACGCGCCTGTAGTCCCAGTTACTCGGGAGGCTGAAGCAAGGAGAATCCCTTGAACCTCGGAGGTGGAGGTTACAGTGAGCAGAGATCGCTCCACTGCACTCCAGCCTGGTGACAGAGCAAGACTCCATCAAAAAAAAAAAAAAAAAGGATATTGGGTAAGGTTGATTGATGTCTTGTCTCTATATTGATTTGCTTTTTCTGAACTATGAACTGTTGGCTTTGTTGACTACAGTGAAAGCATCACTCATAACATAACTCATAACATAACATAACTCATAACGACTATATGCTTATGATAACATTTAACTACTATTTTATTTAATGTAAATTTATTTTTTGGGAGGACAGGGTCTTGCTCTGTCGTCCAGGCTGGAGTGCAGTGGTGTGATCATGACTCACTGCAGCCTTAACCTTCCCGGCTTAATCAGTCATCCCACGTCAGTCTCCCAAGTAGCTGGAACCACAGGGGTGCCCTACCACGCCTGGCTAATTTTTCAATTTTTTTGTAGAGACAGGATTTTGCTATGTTGCTTAGGCTGGTCTCAAACTCCTGAACTCAAGTGATCCTCCCATCTTGGCCTTCCAAAGTGCTAGGATTACAGGTGTGAGTCACCACGCCTGACCTAACTGCTATTTTTTTTTTTAAAGTATTAACTTTCACTGATTTCAGTAGAATTTGTGGGTTTAGGGTAGTCTAACTCAAGACAAAGCTGTTTTTATTTTAAAACAAATACCTTTAAACTTTCATAAAACACTGCCCTCGTCGCCATCAACGTATGTCTTTCTAGAAGGAGTTCTAGCAAAGAGACTTAAAAGACTCAGCAGTGAAAGTCCTTTTATGGCAGAGACCATGTTTGTTTACCAATTTTTGTTCCTCCATGGCATATTATAGCCTGTGGGTGCTTAATAACTGTGAGAGGTGAATCCATAAATCAGTTTGAACTGGCAGATTCCTACATGCCCTTAGAAGGTGGCATGCAATTGTGAATAGAGTGTGGGCTGTTTTCAGACTGACCCAGATTTAAATCCCAGTTTTGCCACTTTTCTGCTTGTGTGATCTTGGTAGGAATTTTAACCTGCGCTCTGGTGGGTTCTCATTTTTGAGGATTCTGATACCTATCTCATGGGGCTGTTAACACGTTCAAATAAGAAGGTGCATAAAGCACTTCACGTAACGTCCGGCACACAGTGAGATCGTAAGTATGGTAGCTGTTTTGTTATTACTGTCTTTGTGTAATTAAGCAAGTGAGGCCTAGATGAGAAATATAAGGGAGTTTGATTTAAGCTTTTAAGAGAACTTCCCACTTCAGAGTGCTCCTTCTGGAGGCATCAATCTTATGATTCTATCTTCAAAATATTTTTGCAACAGTTCTTTGGGACTAGCCACCGTGAAGACTATGAAAAGAATGTTTTTAGGCTCCGAAGGCACTTCCAAAAGAGGTTTTATGACTATTTTGGGCAATAACAACTTCTTTGAAATATGTGCCTGACATTCTTTTTTTTTTTTTTTTTCCTTGGTTTCTAACATGTTATTTTTAATACAAATCAAGTTTGGCATATTTCATTTTTATCATCACTTTGCTTTTGAAGTGGTAACTGACCCACCCTAATGCTGTGTAAATGGAGATCAAAATATTTATAGAGGCTTCATCATACCCAGCTCCAGGGATACAATAGCAAGAATCAAACGTGATTTCTACCCGCAGGCAGCTTACAGTCAATTGGGAGAAATAACTATTAATAAGACATTAGTCTAATGATTATTCAAATCAATATATAATTACAAACTGTCTTAAGAGCTAGTAAAGAATATTAATGCTATGTAAATATAGTCAAACATCACTTAACAACAGAAATCTGTTCTGAGAAATGCATTGTTATGTACCTGACATTCTTTTTGGGTGGTCATCTCTTGTTATAGCAAACTAACATTCTTGAGGGGAAAGATCTTGTTATTTGTGACATATGCATTGTGTACTTTACTGCTTTTAAAATTTCTTCAGATAAGGTCATTTTAAAATTTAATCCAGCAGTTTTCAACTAGGGGACAATTTTGGTCCCCAGGGAACATTTGGCAAGGCTGGAGACACTTTTGGTTGTCATAGCTTGGGGGAGAGTTGCTACTGGCATCCAGTGGGTAGGCCAGAGGTGCTGCTGAACATCCCGTAGAGCATAGTTCCTCACAGCACAGGGTCATCCTGCCCAAAATGCCAGATGGTGCCGGGTTGAGAAACCCTGACTTAGGTGATATGCTTATTAAAAAGTGATCTGTGGGGCTAGGTGCAGTGGCTCATGCCTGTATTCCCAGCACTTTGGGAGGCTGAGGTACATGGATCGCTTGAGGTCAGGAGTTCAAGACCAGCCTGGCCAGGACGGTGAAACCCCATCTTTACAAAAAGTACAAAACTTAACTGAGCATGGTGGTGCGTTGGGTCATTGAATTCCCCTAAAAATAATTTACTACCCCCTAAAATTATCTTTACTTCCCCATCTCCCTTCTCCTAAGAGGTAGGGTATATAAATGTCTATATTCTGTAATTCCTCCCGTGCGTGCTAACAAATGTGTATGCCATTTCTCCTGTTAATCTGCCTTTTGTCAGTTGATTTTTTCAGCAAAACTTCAGAGGGCAAAGGGGAAGTTTTTCCTTATATCCTGAAATAAATATACTAGACCAGTAAGGGGAATTTAAATTCAAGTCTCTGTGCACAAATGTGTCAAACATAAACTTAGCTGCTCTCTGGTCACGTTTGAATTCAAGCAGTGTTCACAGCTGTTCATTTGAATTCTGGATACCACCTCCTCTGAAATCTTTAACACATGCAAGACATTGTCACGGTGTTCTTTAAAATTTTTATTTCCACTGGGTGCGGTGGCTCGCGCCTGCAATCCCAGCACTTTGGGAGGCCAAGGCGGGCGGTTCACTTGAGGTCAGGAGTTCAATACCAGCCTGGCCAACCACAGTGAAACCCTGTCTCTACTAAAAATACAAAAATTAACTGGGTTTGCAATACCTCCCTATAAATCTTTCACCATAACCATTATCTTATATATATATTTAGAATTTCCTAAGAAATCATGTAAAGCATACAGTCTTTTTCAATGTCATTATGAATAAGGCTTTGTTAGGTAGGTATGTGGTATCTGTATCTATCCTAATGCTGTGTTTTCTCAGGGGTGGTTCCCTTTTCATTTTGTACAGAGCCAGTCCATGACAGACATGCTTCTCAAAGTACAGAATGCTATTGGAGAACTGTATCTTGAAACTGGAATGACTCAGGAAGGGTTCCAGTATTTCCAGAAAGCATGGTCAAGCATGCTGCATCTTTCGCTTAGTGACTTAGAAGACAGCCGGGACTTGGTGAAGCAGAAAGGTACGGTGGACACATGCAGGGAGAACAGCCTCTCATGTGTCACAGAGTTAATCTCCTCCTGGGCTATTCCTATCTGTGAGAAAAAGGAAATGGATGTGTGTGTTTTGTTTACTTGGTGTTTTTGTATTGTTTTGTTTTGTTTTGTTTTTGAGACAGAGTCTCGCGCTCTCACCCAGGCTGGAGTGCAGTGGTGCGATCTTGGCTCACCGCAACCTCTGCCTTCTGGGTTCAAGAGATTCTCCTGCCTCAGCCTCCCGAGAAGCTGGGATTACCGACACCCACCACTATGCCTGGCTAATTTTTGTACTTTTAGTATAGATGTGGCCAGGCTGGTTTCGAACTCCTGTCTTCAGGTGATCTGCCCGCCTTGGCCTCCCAAAGTGCTTTGATTACAGGCATGAACCGCGGTGCCTAGCCTACTTGGTGTTTTTGGAGGGCTGGTGGATATGTGAGGATTGAACATAAAGTGTTCCTGATTCTGAGGGACCACCCTATTAGAATGTCATTGTTAGGGTGAGCTTCAGAGAAGGAAGCTTCAAGCAGTAAGGTGGGGTCATCATGGTTCAACTCTGAAACCAGCTTTTCTGGGTTTAAACCCCATTTCTTCACTTACTAGCTCTCTGTGCCTTTAGAGACATTACTTAAACTTTCTGGGTCACAGTTTTTGTATTTATAAGGAAGGGATAAAAATAGCATCCACATTGCATATTGTTGTGACTAAAAGCATTAGGAGGCTGGAAAGCACACAGAATGGTGCCCGGCACATAAGTAGGTACTAATTGATGAGTGGCAGCCAATGTTTTATTCTCCAGTATTTGATGCCTAAGGCTACTCTGTTATCACTGACATAGCAGAGACAAAGAATCTTTAGTGGATTAAGCTATTAAGCAATTTCGACTCACCCATTTACAGTCAGACTAGAGGTCTCTAGGTGTGTGTCATACTTACATGGCTGTATCAATTAGCTTTTGTTGCATAACAAACCATCCCAAAACTCTGTGGCTTAAAACAATGTTTATATCCGCCATGAGCCTGTAGGTCAGCTGGGGGATTCCACTGGTCCAGGTGGGCTCAACAGATTTGGGCTTGGCCCAGGCAAGCGTCTGAGGTCAGCTGGCAGGGCTGATGGGGCTGGCTGGTTCAACCTGACTTACTGTCTGGTGGTTGTCTGGCTGGGATGACAGGGGTGGCTGGACCATGTGTTCCTCATCCTCCAGGAGGACAGCCTGGTTCTCTTCACTTGGCAGCTCACAGGATTCCAAAAGGGAGAGCAGAAGCCTAGACTTAGGCTCAGAACTGGTACAATGCCTCTTTCCACCGCATTCAGTTGGCCAAAGCAAGTCACCAGGCTGTGTCCACCTCTTGATAGGAGGAAGTACAGAGTAGCATAGCATGGCAAAAGGTAGTTGGGTAAACACTAGTGTAGAGAATTGCAGCTGTTTCTGAAATCTGCCCCATGGCTGGAAGATCAAAGGTCCCTTGGGCAATTCTGCCCCATGGCTAGAAGATCAAAGGTCACCTCGGGCAAGCTACTTACCCTCTCTAAGGTTCTCATCTGCAAGTTCACTTTTGTAGCCATAGTTATCGTTTGTTGAGTGTTTACTGTGTACTTTATGCTGATGATCTCTTTTATCCTCAAACATACCTCATAGAGCATGTACAGCTGAATGTCAGAGAGATTAAATAACTTAAACTACATCAGCTCCTGCAGCTATCAGTCTGAAGCTAGGCTGTCTGGTCCAAGCTAGACCCCAGAGCACGTCTGGGCAACTCCTTGTTGGACAGAATTTCTTCTAGACATTTATGAAGCTCTAATCCTTGGTATACAGAGTCTAGCTTCCAAGTTGTTGTCCTAATGCAGGCAAGCCTGGTCACAGGTATGCTGGGACCTTAGTGGCAATCAGGGCCACTTATATGGGAGCTGGGTCTGGCCCTCCAGAGGCAGCTGAAGAGTCCAGAATGCAGAGTTCCAAGGGGTCAGGCCACCATGGCTTGGTATATACAAGTGTTAATTTTCCAAGGAGACCAAATGAGCAGGGGTAGAGTCGCGGGGGCCTGGTAAAATGGGATGCTAGGAAGTATTGGTGTCATTTGTGGCAGCTTTGATAGAAGCAAACTGTAGTTCTGGTCCCCTGACAAGGGTTAGGTGTGGGCTTATGGCTTGAGCAAGCAGATGAAGAGGTGGGAGTGAGGATTCCACCCTGACCAGTATTCATGCACTCAAGAGCTGTTTACCGAGTGCCTGCATGCACCAGGTGCTATGCTGAGTCCAGAAAAGTGGTCTAGGCAGGAACACCAACTCTACCCTCTAAAGGAGGTACTACAGAAAATATAAGTGAGCCAACCCATGAAATGATTGCAAGCTGTCATAAATGCAGACAAGAAATAGAGCTAGAGCATTGGGG